AATACTATGTCAAAAAGAACCAAAAACTAACCTATAAATGTATCAAATTAATTTCTTTTCGTAGATGTGTGTATAAATACGCAATCTACACAATATAAGAAAGTCAAAGTAAATAGTTATACTTTTTGGACCATTAGTTTTACAAATGTTTAACAAAAATTTGTTGTTCAGAATGGAAGTATTTCTTAATGTTGAATTGTTGGAGGATTCAGACGTTGACGACGACGATATGGATGATACAATTTTAACCATAACTATTCAATGCAATTTTTCAATGTATTTTGCATGAAGGAAAGATAAATAATATTTTCTGTAGGATTTATGAGTTCGTCTTTTCTAATAAAAAAAAAGGTTAAATATTTGCGTTCTGTGGATACGCCAGAGCTTGTAATGTTACGTATAACCGTAAACGTGAACGTAAAGGATAATTTAAATGCGCATGCGTAGCTGTCAATTCTCACGTTAACGTTTACGTTCATAACATCACTTGTTACTCTCGGGCATCACTTGTTATTCTCGGGCATCACTTCAACTCTCTAATAGCTTGTCGCAGCCTAAGAAGAGCCATGGAAGCACATACTTTGATTTTCTTTTACTATACGGAGAATGGTCGCACTGCGCAGCTTTCTGAGTGCCTTTTAAAAGGAGATAGAAAACTCCGCCATTTTGAACCCTTATTACGTGTTGCCTACATTTTGGCGCAACATTTTTAATAGGTGCGTTTTAATCATCCGCTTCTGCTTCGACATTGTCGGTTGTCTTGTTTTAATCTGACAGGTTAAAACGACTAAACCGACAATTCCGGAAGCAGAAGTGGATGATTAAAACGCACTTGATATTTTGCTTGCTGCTGTCAGTGTCAGTGAATATTATTTTTGGAGTCACAGTTTATTTCTAAAGAATCAGTTAGCTCACTCGGACCAGTTGAAAGTTCCAAAATAACATCCACTCCAGGGATACAAATTCAGGATACGCAGAAGATTGCTCTTTTATTATAGGCGGTTGTTATATATTTTATTATCCGAGTTCCGCAGTGTATATCCTGGAACATTGAGATCAAAAGTGCCGACGCAGAGTGAGCGATCTGATTCTTTAGCTATAAACTGTGTCATAGGGATCAAAATGGCCGCGCCCTATGTTGGGCGTGTCAGACCTCTCTCTTGCCCCGTATAGTAATCAAAGTATGTGCATGGAAGTCATTTTTAGTCTCACTCACCTTGATATTATTTATATTAAGGAGATTGCTGTGATGACAATGACACTGCCTCATGGTTTGAAGTAGGATTTAGTGAGGAGAGACGTCGGTTTTGACAGAAGGCGCTCGATACGCTCCCACTGTTTCTAGCTAACATGCACTTCATTTCACCGAGATATATCTTCCATAAGCCATATATAGTTATAATAGAACAAATAGAAGAGCTGGAAGTGGCAGGTACGATTCATATCTACATCAACGTTTCTAAAACGAAACAAGGTTCAGGATGTGAAATATACTCCAGATCCTTAAACCTAAACAAAAAATGGGCTGTGAGCAATAGTGCCAGGGTAGTTCAAACCATACTCACGGGAATTCTCATAGCAGTAAAAGAAGTTACCAGAAAAAACATCACTGGAAGGAACATGCTTATACATACAGATAGTAGACAAGCCCTAATTACCCTGGACATATCACGAATTTACTCAGGGTTATTACCTAAAGATGGATCAAGTGTCACGCCATATCGAAAGGTAACCGTTTTGCTAATTGACTAGCCACTTTTTGGACATAGCCCTTCTATTGAACTGACAATATCAGTAGTAACAAACCTAATTAAAGAACATTCCCTTTTGAAATTTAAGGAAAGATGGGATGAAACAAGAAGCTGCTGAATTATCAGGGAGCCTTAAGGCTATCCTGAAAACACTATAGCAAACAAATACTTGACTATGACTAGACAGAATCTGACGGTCATGCATTCTGACTGGTCATTTCCAAGTACGGAAGCATCCTCATAACATGGGGCTGTCAGAGTCCGCACTCTGCAAGGGGTGCGAAAAAGAAGATGAGACCATCCAACATATCCTCTACGACTGCCCGACGCTTAGCGTAAATTGGCTGATATAAGTATATTTTGGCTTATTAGCTAGGAGGTGCCTATTAACTTAGGAGGAGGCACAATGGGCCTAGTGAGACCTAAGTACCGTTGGTTAATTAATCCTTCACATTTTACCGATTCAAAGAAGGAGAGCAATAACATGATAGACTCATAGCTCAATAAAATCGCAACACGTAAGTTCTACCTTAATCCGAACAACATTTTATACAATCTAATACGTAATATTTAGAGAGATTCAATTTTGATTTGGTGATAATTTTATCTGTCTAAAATAATAGTTCTACAAATATCAGACGATGGTTAAAAAATATAATACCCCTAATACTAAAAAAATTGTAGGTATGTATTTAATAATGGGACAACTGCCCATCATAATCATTGTATTTTATAGTGTATTTATCGGATTCCTGTTGACAGAATGTGAATACGATTTTGATACAATAGACAACAGTTAAAGAATAAACAGAAGTTTGTTTTTGTTGCAACAGAATTTATTGACTTTGACAACTTTGATGTTTTGGTGGTTTGCTATTACGTTTCTATTTCATAATAAACAAATATTCAAAAAATAATTAAGTTACCAAAATGTCATCTAGGCTGTATTTGAATGCATTTTCCATAACTTAATAAAATATAGAAAAATAATATTTTCTTAAACTTTATTTTAGGAACACAAAGGTTTTATAGAATTTCTAACAGATATTTTGTCTAGCTCAGGCAGATACGGATTCAAACATTTTAAATTAAATGGTTTTTGCATTCATCAATATTTTTTAATAGCTATTTTATATCTTAAAAAAACATTTTTAAAATGGATTACATCGTAGTAATATAGGAAATATAAATGATATTAATTTTTTTCGTTAATTTTTAGACCTTTTATTATTATTGTTGTATTTAGAATTTCTAGTCAATAATTGGCAAAGTACCGCACTGAATGTGAATATTTTTTTGTAGTTGACCATAAACCATTTGAAAAATTAGAATAGACTTACTGGTAATATAGAAAATATATGTAGACATCAGGAAACAAACTTTTTTAAATGTTAATATAAGTGTTAGATTCATTTTTACTAAATCCTGCTTTATTTGGTGCTTTGATACGTTTATCAGATATGTGTTTTTTGGATTTTTTTATTTGCCATATATTTAATAGAAATTCTATATATAATATTAGATAACATAAAGAATCTATCGATTTCATTATTTCAACTAACGCACATATTTCAATGACAAAATACATAAAGTTCTGATGATAGACATAAAGCAAAGAATATACGAAGTTACAGCCTTAACTAAATAAAAATTGTAATCATTATTTTTTGCATATTGGAGCTACTCTACCTCCTTGTAATTAGAGGCTATCCTTATCAATATTTTCTTAAAAATATGCCTTAACTAAATTTTCATTGAAAAATGTCACCAGCTCTTAGACTATTAGCTTTATTAGCAAAAATTGGGCAAACAATTATCCAATTTTACAACTTCCACCTCTCTTTACATCTCTATCACCGTCACAGGTATTTTATCTCCTGATTACATTTAATGACATCAATCAATAATGACTATTATTTCTAGTTATAAACTGTCACTTATCGCTTAAGTGAAAATGAGACGTCGATTTTTCGACTTTTTAACATATCAATAAATATTTGTATTGTAAAACTTGGCGCCTTATATCCTTGAATAGCAGTATTAGAATATCTAAACAGAATAATTACGACTGAGTATTAATGTAGACTGTGTTTAAGTTTGTAGAATATTTCCAAATTAGATTCTACGGAGCATACTCTTTTCTAGAATTCACAACTACTTTACTTATATTTGGAGTTTTAAAGAGGCTTATAATATCAGAAATTTATCAAGTTTTTGCTTCTTTCCTAAAAAAATGGACAAAATTGTAAAAACTTCTCATGCTAAAGAATTAGCATCTTACAATTATGATTGGTACTACTTAAGGTGCTCTACTATTGTTTGGCACATTAATATAATTTAAAATTTTTTATAAAACAAAATAACTTCAAATAGAATGCAGATGGCAGCTGGGCTAAAAATAACATACAAAAAATATACAGATTCGCAGAGCACCTACAAAATACCTTCCAATGAATGAGAATTATTACCGAATTGGGATTTTTAGATACAGAAGAGTCAATAAACAGACCAACCTCTCCAAAGGAAATTACAAAGGATATAGACGAAAATATTTATCCTAAGAAAGGTCCTAACTTTGATTTAATTACAGGAGAAGAAAGCCATTATGACTACAAACCAGGAAAACCACAAAATGAAGTTTCGTTATATAGGCCAATATCTCTATTGCCTACATTATTGAAAGACTGAAACCCAATCAACTAGAGATCAGGTTCAAAAAATCTTAAATGCGATTGAAAAGCATTAAAAAACAGAGTCTCTTTAGCCATCTTTCCCGATATTGGGCAGGCTTTTGAAAAATTATAGCATGATGGCTTACAACATAAACTGAATATTCTGCTTCCACACTCAGACCTACTGGATTCATACATTTCAGATAAATTCCTTAGAGTAAAACAAGATGAAGCATATTATGCATTGAAATTTATCAAAGAAGGACTACCACAGGGAAGCTTCCTGGGACCCACTTTGTATCTGTCATACACTTGTGCTATATCCTAACCAGAATAAGACACAATGAGAGTATTCATAAAACTGAAGGATATCGTTGTAAGTAAAGGTAGGAGTATAAGCATTTCCCTTTTTTCGTATTCATAATGATTACCTTATACTTGCAAGGATATCCTCTATGAATAAGATTGTTGGCTTGTGTCTTCAGCGGCAGGTTCCAACCTATTTTCGTTGGTGTGTTTATTTACGGTATTTCTTTCTTATCGGTGTTATTTGAGTACAGTACTTCGATCAGAGAAGATGTATTCGTCAAGAAGTGATAGTGAAAGTACAGGAAAAGGTAATGCTACAAACGAACTGCAGTTCACAGTAGATGAAATTGCCAATGCCCCCGTGTTTTTGGAAAAATCCCAAACTACAAAAATAAAAGCTAGAAAGGATGAGGCTATTAGAAATGTTACCAGGAAGTATGAGGTAACATTTGGTAAAGGCTGGATGCGAAAGGCTTTTTAAAGAAAATAAACAATATAAAAGGAAGGTTGAAGAAAAAAAACTGGAAATAAAACAATCAAACTGTTGGAGTGGGAGAAAAAGTTATTGAAGGCTATGGAAGGCGACAGTAATCCTACAATTAAAAAAATCGGAGGCGCCCTGCAAATTGGTATTGAAGATGGATCTACTCAGCATAGAGTGATTGATGCTTCTACTAGGCGAGAAGAGACTGAATCAATCAGCAAACCACAATCTAGTAGTGTCAAGACTGTCGAATCTCTTCTGCCAACAAGAAAAAAACAACAAAAAAGTACGAAACAAATGAAACAAAAGGACTCACAACCAAAGAGCTTCTACGGCTAGTTTTTTTAGAGCAGTATCGAACAACTAGTGTTCAAAGGGAATACTATGAAAAAAAGTTAAAGAGGATGAAGCGGGAGGAATAAGCAGCAAATATTGTTAACAAGGGGGAGTTGGCATACTACAATATGTAAACAATTGCTTGGCTTGGCTGTCTGACATTTTTTGAATATGCTGATTTTCGACAGCTCTTTAATTGTTCATTTTTGTACATTGCAAAATTGCATATACCTCGGCCTGATTAGGGTTTTTGGAGAATACTCCCGCTCCAGTGTATTCCGCAGTCTTAGACCGTTGTTTATACCAGGTTTGTTCCTGTCGTTAGGCATTGGGTGATCTCCGCTCTTTCCTGTATTAAAACCTCAAATGGAGTTTTAAAAGAGTACCTCTTGGTCTAGCACGTCTCCTGTCACTAACCTTGAGATACTTATGTGACCTGGTCTAATGTCAAGATTTCCCAGTGTATTCCCTAATCTGTAAGCACCTAATCTTGCCTCCCCTGTATCACATAGTGAAGAGGTGGGAGTCCTATTAGTGCTTCCATTGCAGCTGTGGGGGTTGTTTTCATTGCCCCCGTTATTCCGAGGCAGGCAAGTCTTTTTACCTTGCTTAGCCTCGTTATTGCTTTCCTTTGTTGTGTCTTTGGCCACCACACCAAAGCTGCCTATGTTATTTATCAGTCTCACCACCATGTTATAAAGCCAATATACCATGTCTGGTTTTAACCCCTCAATTTTTTTCCAAAGAATCTCCTTGCCATCATTAACGAGGTTTCCGCTCTCCTTGTGTTTTTTTCTGGATGCTGGTTCCAGGTAAATCTCGAGTCAATCATAACCCCGAGATATTTTACCTCCCCTTTAAGCTGGATGCCTGCACCTCTTAGGTTTAGAGGCCCTAGTCCCTCCAATTTCCTCCTGCGGGTGAATGCAATTATGTCAGATTTGTTTGGGCTAATGCTTAGTCCTTGCGCCTCTGTCCATTTTGTCTCTTGCCTCTTGCATTCGACCTCTTACTATAGTGTTGTATTTTCCCTGTGCCATGATCGCTAGATCATAGGTATATCCCAGGGTTCTATGTCCCTTATCTTTGAGAGCCCTAAGCAGCCCGTCCAGTACAAGGTTTCACAGGAGTGGAGACAGCACTCCACCCTGCGGACATCCTCTCGCTACCCGTGCCGCTATTGTCTATCCCATAAGGGTTGTGTGTATAGTTCTCTCCCTTAACATAGAGTCGATCCAGGACATGCACGTGTCCTCTATTCCTCTGTGTTTGAGAGATCTAATGATCGATTCAACGGAGGTATTGTCAAATGCACCCTCGATATCCAAGAATGCTCTCGGCATTACCTTCTTGTTTTCCAGTGTGTTCTCCACCCCTGTTATTAATTGATAGAGATCTGTTTCAGTTGATTTCCCTGCACTATAGGCGTATTGGTGTTGGTATATTGGCCTCTGAACCAATATCCTGTCTCTAATATGCCTATCTAGCAGTTTTTTCAAAGTCTTGAGTAAAAAGGACATAAGACTTAGAATCTTTGCCGTTTCCTGTCGTATTTTCCCAGGTTTTGGTATAAAAGTTACCCTAATATTTCTTCAAGCTTTTGGTATGTGTCTAAAGGCCAGGCTACTTCTGAGTATGTTACATAGTCTGCTATATAAAATATCAGGACTTCTTTGTAACATTATTGGATAAATCCCGTCCATGCCCGGTGTTATTTGGTTTGATTGAGCTAATTGCCCATTTCAGTTTATACCACTTGTTTGGCTATCCTCCAATCTTCCCTGTTGGCAGTCCGTTTAGATTTCGGTTAGCCGGTGTTTGTGAACCAGGCAAGTGAACCCTAAATAGTTCCCATACTGTTTCCTTCCCTGCGATTGTGTACTCCCCCAGTTTATTCTTAAGGGTGTTTATTGTGTGTTGTGTGTCTTTTGAGAGAATTTTTTGGAGCCTGGCATATTCTTGAGTGCCTGCTATCTCCTCACAGTGCCTTCTCCAAGACTCTCTCTTGACTTTTCGTAAGGTATACTAACGAGTAGAACTTTAGTTTTTAAGATTGCAACCTTAGTTAAGTTAGGTAGAAACAAAATTACTCATTGATCAACTGTTCAAAAAATCGAATCTGTGATGTCTGCGTTTTTCTTTGTTGAATGACAAAGTGCTACCATCTATAGTCACTTATATCTGCCAATGAAAATCAATAACTTATTCTAAATTGATATTTCGTTACATTTTGCATCATTACAAAAATAAAACGCAGAAGCCAGTAGAATGTCATTGATAGGTGTCATAATAAAAATAGTATTTCTAGCTAATAATTTAAAAATAGAAATTCTATTAGCACTGTTAAAAATTTGATTAATGTTATTAGATATTAGATTGATATTGATAAATAGAGTTGTACCCTGATAAATTGTTTACCGAAATAAATTCGCCAAAAATTCGCTAATGATAGTAAATCATTAAATAATATACATTGGTGAGGAGATTTCTTTATTTAAAACGATTCTCTCATTCGAATATTAATTAGTTGTTGGGAAAATTAGTAAATTAATTTTATTTTGTGTTTACGAAGGAATTTTAGTAAAGACTAGATAAATTTTCTTTATTTTGTAAAATATGAAAATTGAATTTATATTTCCATGTTATTTATGTGATTTTAAAATAATGTATTTTTATGAAATTTAAGTAGGTGTTCACTGCATGAGTAACAATGGAAAAACCGCCCCTGGATTTAAATGAAAAGTTCTTTTAACCTAAAATTTACAAACTTATTAACTCATTTTCTCAAACTGGTAAGAGAATACAAAATGTGACCATAGACGCCGGAATTGAAAAATTGCTTTGGGTGCTCGGCCTTCATACGGGAAATGCCACCCCTTCCACACCCCACTTAGGGTCCACACCGGTTTTTTGAAAGCACTTTAACATCCATCTTAAAGCGTTGATTTTATGAAAATTTTCTTAAAAAAAAAGAATGTCAAATGTCTAATTGCTTGAGTTTTGAGGATTGAAGCAGCAGAGGAAGTATCAACAGTCGGTAGGCTGGAGGCTCCCACCTAAATCGGGGTATCTGGCAATCCTATATGCCTGGTGGTATTCAGTGGCGCTGCGGTGCTAGAGTACTAATGAAATAAGCAGAAACACAATATAAAACATTTATTAACTATCATGAATTTAGAAGATTTTTAATACACATATAATGGAGTATTGTATATTGTATATATAGGGTGGCCATTTGATAACGAAACAGAGCCAATTTTAGACACCCCCTGGTCATTTACGAAAAAACGCTCAGACCCGTCAATTTTTGATTTTAGGGGAAACATTTTATTGCCAGTTTCACTCTCTGAATGGAAACACTCTAACGGGGATGGAACTTACCCCTAAAATCTTAAATGGAAATGATATCTTATTTTGAAGGTATTTTTACCTAGATTATAACCCCCGAGTTTTAAATCGCTACTGTCTTCCTAGCCATGATCTTTTAACAATTTTTATTTTCTCTAAACGCTCACCATTTAAACGAGTAAATGCTGAAAATGCTGACCCTGGGCTTCCATGCAATAATAGAAGTTTTGTTCAAAACGCTCTTGGACATTTTGGAGCATCTGAGGGGTGATTTGATGACATTTATCAATTATACGTTGTCGCAGATTTTCCAGTGATGTTAAGTTCTTGTACCAGATGTATAATAAAAATGTGTTTTTTCATTATCTACTGAATGCTACTTCTCTTAATACCAGATGTTATCGCCAACTGTCTTGTACTCAATGTGGCTTCTTGAACAACATGACCTAAAATTGCCACCTCTGTAGCTTCATTTACTACATTATTTTCCATTTCACGTTATTTTGTAGCTACTGACTCCGTTTCCCAAAATTTTTGGACTATTTCCAAAATATACTTTTGATGGATTTGTTAAACTGATATGCCACTTGTATGCCGACTCTACAACGAAATAAATTAAACCTTACTACTTTACGGAGACCAAAGAATGTGATCTAATAAAAATAATTTAAGGCCACAGGAATAAAACAAGAATTGTTACAACAAATTAATTTTTTTTAACAATGCAAAAATTATGGTAAACCGGTATTGTACTTTTGGTGAGGCACTTATGGACTACGTAGATAGTAGAGATGTAAAACTCGGGGGGTTATAATCTAAGTACAAATACCTTCAAAATAAGATATCATTTGATCCCTCTTCCCATTTAAGATTTTAGGAGTCTCACCCCCGCTAGAGGGTTACCGTTCAAGCAAAAAAATGTCTCCCCTAAAATCAAAAATTGACGGGTCCAATCGTTTTTTAGTAAATGATCAAGGTTACTGGTGCGTTCTTTTTAACGGTGCTTGATCTGGAGCAACTTCCAAATGTTCTCCCCTTTTCCCCTCAAGTTTCAATATTTACATCGGATGCATCTGAGATGTGAATTTTTTATTATGTGATAGAGGATTAGATTTTAATGTAGATGTAATAAACAAACGCTCTAGGCTTTATTGGACACGTGATAAAATGGCAATGACAAGTTAGAAGTTAATACTTTTTTAATTTGACTTTTGAGACTAGAAATCAACCTAAATTTAAAATCTAAACAAAAGTTAAACAAACTAATCACTTTTATATTCATGATAGAACAAAAAAAGAATAAATCGAAAAACTTGTAACTAAACCAACTGAATAGAACTGAACTGAATCGGCATCTTGCTTCACAGAACACCTAATTTCTGGCATGGAACGAATCAAACAAAAAATAAATGATAAGTTTGACAACCCCCACTAGATGTAAAAATGCATCGGTTGTGGATATCCAAACGCAGCAATTTAATGTCTTTTCATGTGTTATTTAATTTAGAATGTCTCTTTCTGCGATAATATAATTTACTAGAATTAATTCTTTTGTTTTTCAGATCCCATATAGATGGTCTGGGCCTCAGATTTAGCAAATTTCGTAAAAAAAGGTAAAAATCGATATAACTGTAATTAAGTTCTTAACGGATTTT